GAAAAAAGCAAGGACGCTACCAAAAGTGAAGTTCTTCATTTGGCTTGTTCCTTATGGTTGGCTTTAGACATGTTCTCATCAGCATCGGCATCACAAGGCTATTTAGATTGTGACCTAGCAGGAAAAATCCTGACAAGGCAGTGATCGTCACTAGGTGATCAAAATCAATGGCATGGGTTGCTACCTGGCCAAGAAACACTGCCTCGATGCCCAATAAAATAGGCCCCACTAAAAGGTCCATGTTTGATTTTGGTAATTGAGTGACAACCCTAGGTGGACTAATTATGTCTATGTGAGATACACAGGTGATTAGTCCATAGGTACATGTGTGTGAGCAACATATGCCATGGAGGTGGAAATGGCTCGGAGATGTTGCAAAGCTCACACATGTGATGATAAAGGACCTCATTGCACATGAGACATTACATTGAGTCATGTGATCAAGGTGGAGAAAGATCAAGACAAGACTTGGCTTGATAGACCGGTTGCAAGAGTGAAGGGCAAGTCGGAGGCTTTGGAGCGATGGACTGCGTGGCGGTGAAGCTTGAGCAAGACTTGGCACCGATGGACGAAGGCAACGGTGAAAAGCAAGTGAAGTCAAGATCGATGAACCAATATGATCACGTGATGATATGAAGTGGATTATATCATTGTTGATCGTGTTGGTGCTTGTGTTGCATCGACATTGGAGGAGATGGAATGGAATGCGCAAGGCAAAGGTATAACCTAGGGCATTTCATTTCACCGATTATAGGTGTGTAGAGAAGTTGATGACTGGGTTTATGATAGATGGCCGTACTATCAAGAGGGGTAAACTTGTTTGCATATCGGTCATCTAGTGCCACTCGAGTGATCTAACTTTGCATCATCGCTAGGATCGAGTGGCGTGGCAAGTTGAGTGGTTAATCCTTTGAAAAATGTTTATGAAAAGCTAACACGCATACACATGGTGGTGTACACTTGGTGGTGTTGGCACATTTGTAAAGGAGGAGTTGGAGTTAAAACGGATCAACTCGGTGAAGAAACGGAGGCGAAAAGGATGTCATTGTGAGTGACCAGACGCTGGCCTCGGTAGGACCAGCGCGTCCGGTCAGTGACAACAGTTGGGTGCGGTCTCGATCAAGTGACCAGACACTGCACAGTAAAGGTGATCGGACGCGCAGGGCCTGCGTCCAGTCGCGTGTGACGTATGGTGACATAGGCGATGTTGGAGTTGGCATGCGGGCGCAGTGCTGATCGGACGCTGGTTTGCGTTCGGTCGTGCAGCACTGGACGCGTCCGGTCGATCTGACCGGCGCGTCCGGACGCCCCGAGCAGTGCCCAGTGAAGGGGTACAACGGCTCTATTTTCATGGGGGCTATAAATAGAAGGGGGTCTCGGCCATGGTTGAACAAGAGTACCTTAGGGGACTTTGTGTCCATGCTTGAGAGTGCTTAGGAGCCCTCCATCTCACATATGCTTGATAGTGATCATCCAATTATGTGAGAGAGCGATTCTAGTGTGATTGCATCATGAGGTTGCATCGAGTGGCACTAGGTGATTGAGTTGCAACCCAGTGGTGCTTGTTACTCTTGGAGGTTGCCACCTCCTAGATGGCTTGGTGGTGGTCTCCGTCGAAGCCCGCAAGAAGCTTGTGCGGTGCTCCGGGGAAGAGCTTTGTGAGGGGCATTGTGCTCGCCCCGTGGGAGCCACGAAGAACAACTCTAGTAGAGCAAGACGTGAAGGGCGACAAGTGGCCCGGCCGGGTCAAGTGCTAGAGCTTGTGGTAAGCACTCCACGTGGGAGAGTGTGACTTGTGGGTCACCACTAGCAAGAGGACCGGTGGCAACCTTCGAGCTTGTCTCAACGGGGACGTAGCGTGTTGGCAAGCACGTGAACTTCAGGAGAAAAATCACCGTGTCAACATTGTTCTTCCCGTTGGTTTGCAATCCTCTTACACAAGCTTATAATTACTTTCACATACATTGTGCTTGTGTAGTTGCTCTTGTAATTAGTTAGCTCGTGTAGCTCACTAGTTACCTTCTTGCTTATGTAGCATAAAAGTTGCTCCCTTGCGTGACTAATTTGGTTTGTGTAACCTTGTTAGTCACATTGCTTAGTTTAAGTATTTGCGCTCTCTAATTTGGCATTGGTTGCCTTGTTATTGAGCATTTCTAGTGAGCTTAGGGGCTTTGTGCTTTTGCTTACTAGAATTGTGTAGGAGCTCCCCAGTGTGCAAAATACTAGTAGCATAAGTTTGTGTGACCTTGCTCCTAGAATTGGATAGGCGAGCTCTACCTAGCTTGGCACCTTAGTTGCTTAATTAGGATCTTTGCAAGGTGCTAGATAACATAGATAGAGGGGTGTAGTCTTGGCTAGACCGATAGTTTTAATTCCACACTTATTTCGGTTAGCTAGCGTGATTAAGTTTTAGAAAGGACTATTCACCCCATCTAGTCTGCCATCCCGACCTTTCACCCACTTACAGGGTTCAACAAAATGTGGTTTCTGTAATCAAAATTATGATACTTCAGATCATCTTTTTGTGAAATGTGTTTATAGTGAGGAAGTCTAGGCATGTACTTTGTCGGTTGGTGTTGGATGCTATCACTAGTAGAGAAATGACTTTTGGTTCGCACCTTTAGTCTCGGTTGTATTAGGGTCCGGGACTAATGTGAGTATTAATCCCGAGTCTAAATTTTACAGGCACCAAAGGCCCTTTTTATCCCGGTTGGTAACACCAACTGGGACTAAAAGCCACCCTTTAGTCCCGGTTGGTTTTACCAACCCGGACTAAAGGTCCTCCAACCTTTAGTCTCGGTTGGTGTCACCAACCCGGACTAAAGGTCTCCCACCTGGGACTGAAGGTCCCCCACGGGTGAATTCAAAAGGAGAGAGCCTAGGACTTTATCACATGGTGTGTGCAGTTGAGTTGGTAAGGAAGCTACGTGCAAGGCAAGGGGTCTTAGGTTCAAATCTCACACATCGCAAGAGAGGTCTCCTAGGATTTAAACTATTTTTTAGTTCCAAGAATGGGCTTTCGTCCCGATTAGGTGACCTGGGATTAAAGGTTTCGGCCTTTAGTCCTGGATCCACAATCCCGGTTGGGAAACTGGGACTAAAGCAAGTTCCCAACCGGGATTGAAACCCACCAGTGTACTAGTGTATTGTGCCAACTTCAGATGTGTCTATGGTAGATTGGTGGCCACTGGGTTCTAGAAAGCATATATACCCAAAATGTGTAGTCCTAGTTTTGACTCAATGTTGCTTTTTATGCACATGGATGCCTTGAAGGAGAGAAACAATCATGTGCTCCATAGACACGTGGCCATGACCATGTTGCTGTTAGAGCGTATTAGGGGGGGGGACAGGATTAGGTGCAGAACTCATGTTTACGGTCATTCTATATTTTATTTCACAAGTATAGCATCATTTACTTTTTCTGTAATAGACCTATACTTAATTGTAAATTGGGTTGTCTCCATGTAATTAGGTGGCTACTTGCTAGTCGGTATTGTATTTTTCCCTCATCTTAATGAAAAAATATGTGCCAAGTAATGCTTGTGGAGAAAAACCAATAAGGATGTCAGGAAACTATAGGTGTCCATCCAAGAATAACATAGAGCTTAACAACAAGATGAAAGTCAATAATTATTTTTGTCAATATTGTAAGGATGAAAAATGGTAACATCTCAAACATAGAGGATTGCACAATTGAAAAACTAAACTAACATATGTACTCCTTTTGTCCTAAAATATAAAGTATTGAAACATTCAAAAATTATCCCAAATTATAAGGTATTCTATGTGAATTAACTCTTCCGAAACACTAATCACATGTGTACCTACCATAAGTGTACCTACCATATCTCTCTATAGTTAAGTGAGGGCTACACGTGTCATTTGATTTACCCAATAATTTGTCCAAGAATCCTAGTATACCTTATATTCCAGGATGAAGAGATTACCTATGATGAGTTTAAATGTGTGATTGTGTGTGTTGGAGGAAGGAATGCTGCCTAATCAACACCATTCTAACATTTTTGTGTAACTATGTCTTCTTTCCTTCTAGGTCACATGAAAAGGGAGGCATGAATGTGAGAATGGAATGTGAAAGCACCAAGATGGAATTGCAATACTTACCAGGATAGATTATATAGGTGTACTGAGCTCTCTAAAGGTCTAGCTTCAAATTTATTGACAACAAATTCCAGCTGTCATAAATCAAAATAATTGTTACGCAAAAGTCAGAACATCTTTCCCTTTACTTAAAAATAAACCAAAGCACTTCTAATATCTAGGTGTAATCAAATAACGATGAAGAAGAAAGACCCTCCACCAAACGTTAACGGTAGCTCTACGTTGCAAACGGGCTCTCCGTTCCTCACCTTTCAGTTCGAATGTTGAAAAGACTCACAATAAAACACTAACGGTAGCTCTACCTTACGAGTAAGCTCTCCGTGCCTTACTTTTGAATCTCTAACTATGTAAGGTGTCCCTAAAATCACGGACGTGTTTCACAACGTAACCAATGACCTCATGAAGAACCGTTTTTGTGTTGCAGTGCGTGTGAGTATCACTTTAACTCACGAATGTGGCTTTAACATTTTATTCATATATAGGCAAGTTTAAAAAAGTTTACCCATGACTCATGAGTCTACTAAAATTACCGGGTATGTATGCGGGTCTTCGTCATGTTATATGTTGAGTAGGTACAGTGAGAAGAAAAAAAAAAGCAGCGTGTGCGTAGCATTTCTTCCCCGGCTGAAGGCGTGGGTCTCGACTCTCGAGAGCTGCTTAAAAAGCTTTGCACAAAAATGGCTTCGCCTGCGATACCATTCGCCCCCCTCACGTCCCATCGCGCCGTTCCCTTTGTCTTGGGGTGTACTCCTCCATGGCCACCGCCCCCGCCGCCTGTCGCCCCCGCACGGCCGCCGCGCCCCGACGCTGCTGCTAGACTGCTAGAGGAGGAGGCCGGGGCAGGCAGCTCGCGAGCTCGATCGCCTGCTGCCGGGCCCGAGATGGAGTCGATGGTGCTGGATCTCAATGCCGAGTCGCCGACGGCCGGCTCGGCCTCGGCCACCTCGAGCTCCACCGGCGTCTTCCGGTTCGACCTGCTCGGAGGGATACCCGACGAGGAGGGTTGCTCGCCCTCGCCGCCCATCGTGACGCGCCAGCTCTTCCCCTTGCCGTCGTACCCGGACGCTGCTGCAGCTCGGGCTCCCACCGCCGCCTCGACGGCGTCGAACGGGTCGCCGCCGCCATGGGCGCGCCGCGCAGCGGATCTCGGGCCGCCGGCGCCGGCGCTGGCACAGGGGGCGGTGGTACCTGCGCCTTCGTCGCCCGCGGCTGTGCCTCCTGCCGCCGGGAAGAAGAGCCGGCGGGGGCCCAGGTCGCGGAGCTCGCAGTACAGGGGCGTCACCTTCTACAGGAGGACCGGCCGCTGGGAGTCACACATCTGGTGAGCATGACCACTCGCGACGACCGCTCTCAGCCAATCACCACCTCTCAGCCGCTTAATCCGTTTTGTCCTCATTGGCGCTTGAACTTAGTAACCACTCGTTTGTATCGTCCAATTGCGCAGGGACTGCGGGAAGCAGGTCTACCTGGGTGAGCTCAAATTCTTGTTTCCCCTGCTCAAGCTACTGCTAACTTTTAGTGTGCTTGGCTTCATTCTGTTGCGCTTGTGTTGTTTTTTCCCCCCTTCCAGGCGGATTTGATACTGCCCACGCCGCAGCAAGGTTTGAACATAGCACTGATGCGTTCAAATTTGACTGTCAGTGGAAGTTAATTTTGCTTGTTGATGTGCTGCGATTGTTGAATTGGATTGTGCAGGGCCTATGATCGCGCCGCGATCAAGTTCAGAGGCCTTGACGCAGACATCAACTTCCAGTTGAAGGACTATGAGGATGATTTGAAGCAGGTATGCTGTAGAATATGTGTGATGCTGGGTTTTTTCAGTTTTTAGTGCTTAGCTGTTCTTCACGCGGAGCGTGTGATTGATCCATCCTGATTGGTTAGTTTGTGCACTCTTAGATGAGGAATTGGACCAAGGAGGAGTTTGTTCACATGCTCCGACGTCAAAGCACTGGGTTTGCCAGGTGGAGCTCAAAGTACCGGGGTGTGACACTACACAAGTGTGGTCAGTGGGAAGCTCGGATGGATCAGCTTCTTGGAAAGAAGTAAGTAATCTTGATACCTAGGCACCTAGCTTTGGTGTAGTTATGGAGTAGCTCAGGCATTTTTTCCATGAGGTGAACAAAAACTCTGTTCGGATGAACTGCTTGAACAGAACTTGGCAGTTACTGTTGAGATGGAACATAGGCACTCCATGGTTGTAGCTGTTGTAGGGTCAAAAAATGACAAATCTGAGTGGTACAGTAATGTATTGAAAGGAGCATGTTTATGCTTTCTTTATCATTTCATCCTAACTGTTGACACTAAAATAATGGTTTTCTTTAGCATAGCATCCTCGTGGCAATGCTAACTCTAAGTTATGTTAAAGGCCGCATTTCTCTAATCATGATTATTCTGGTAATACAGTGATTGAAAACTGCAATCCACGTGCAAGTATGGCTAATAGCACCAAGTATCACTTTATAAATTTACTAAGAGATGATATTAATGTGCAGGTACATCTACCTTGGGCTGTTTGACAGTGAAATCGAAGCAGCAAGGTTCAGTTAGTAGAATCGTGCACTTCTTTTTTTCTTTTATTTTTTGTATATTCATGGACGCCAACAACTTAAACCCTCACGCGCTTCAATCTCTTTGTTGATTCTATAGAGCATATGACAGGGCAGCCATTCGCTTCAACGGACCGGATGCTGTTACAAACTTTGATTCTAGTTCCTATGATGGAGATGTCCCACTTCCACCTGCAATTGAGAAAGATGGTACTATTGGAATATCGTATTTAGTTTTGCCTGATGTCCACTAGACGATCCTCTACAAATCTTACTGGGAATAATTTTTCTTAGCAGTGGTTGATGGGGACATCCTTGATCTGAATTTGAGGATTTCACAACCTAATGTGCATGATCTCAAAAGTGATGGTACCCCGACTGGTTTTGGATTAGGTTGTAATTCTCCTGAAGCTTCAAGCTCCATTGTTTCTCAGGTAAATATATTGCAATTTTATGCTACATGTATACAATTCTTTTCACTGTCTCAATTGTTAATACCATTTAAATGAGTATCGTATAGCTAAAACTTTTTAGTTGCTTATGACATAACTTTTCAATATAATTATTACATGCGAACTGTTGTACACATTTGGGCATTTTGGTAACCCTGCTTAACACTTGCTAAACATAAGCTTGCTGCCGACCTATTATATTAGGGGAAATTGTCTGTTGGACATCCAAAGTGATGGTCCTTTGCTGGCGGACACCCACTTTGGAGCATTTTGCCAGAAGATACTCTGGTTCGTTGAAATTAGGCCACAAGACACCGTGGCCCGGTTTCAGCCGGTTGATGAGAGAGAAAACTTCATTTTGGACATCCGGTGCCCCTGAACCACACTTGGGTCCGCCCCCAATTTGGTCTGGTTGGACCCATAAGAACCGGCCTCGACCCGGCCGTTAGGGTTAGGTCGCGCGTCGTCCCTAATCCCACACTCCATTGCTCGCCGCCCACTCGACTCCAGTGCTCGCCGCGTCGCCGTCCACCCCAGTGCCCGCCGCCGCTGACACCTCCAGCCTTGGCTGTCATCCGCCATGTGGGGTTGAGGATCTGGAGCACCCCCGTGACCCGAAGATGAAGTCCCCAAGCAGTAAGAACGTGCAATGCCCTAGTTCTCCGCCTAGGGTTCCTCAATTGAAATGGATTCCAAATGGGTGAGTTTTTTTGAACCCGTACTCTTTGGATTTGTATGCCTGTGGATGCGTTAGAAAGGTTGCGGTTTGAAATCGTTTAGTTTGGTTCTTTTCCTTTGTTTTGATTTAGGATGGATCCGATGGCCGTGTGTAGGTTGGTGATTAGAGTACCTGCCTGTGTAGAGCAAAGACCAGATGGGCTCGATGATTATCATGTAACTACTAACTACACGCGTGTGGTGGACAAGGATCTCTTCAATTGGATGGGTTTTCATGAGTTGCTTTGTCAGGAGATAGTTCATGGTCAGGATCAAGAACTGCAGGTTACTTTCTTTGACAAAACCAAGGATGAGAAAGTGCACATAGATTTTGATTCTGCTCTGTTACATACATTTGATGTGTATTGGGACTGTAGGAAGCTGCCACTGATTGTACAAGTTGTTGACATTGGTCCTCGTTTGTTATGGTCTCAATTTTCCAGTACTGATGCCTCTGTTGATAGTCAGTCTCTTATTAGCACACAGCAGAGTCAGGTCAATTGTCTGCCACTAGCTATGATTTTGCCTGATGATATTCCAGTGCCTAATCCAGTAGATCATAATGCTGAAGCTGTTCATATTCCAGAATGTGTTAGTAACCCTGATGTTGCTGCTGATACTGAGGTTGATAATCCTGATGTGGCTGCTAATCCTGATGTGGCTGCTAATCTTGATGGAGATGGTAATCCTGAGGTTGATAATCCTGATGTGTCTGTCAATCCTGATGTGGCTGCTAATCTTGATGGAGATGGTAATCCTGAGGTTGATGCTAATCCTAAAGGTGATGATAATAATGAGGATGATACTAATGTTGATGATGACTGGGGAGTGTCTGATGAAATTGAGTATGTAGGAGTAGATGATGAGAAGGAGAAGTACAAGGATGTGCTAAATGATGATGGTGATGATGACTGTGATTACTATCCTGACACTGACCCAGAAGATGATGACCCACTAGTCATGGATGATGAGAGGGGCTATGAGGGTGTGGTGCATGTGACCGACATAGATAACCCTAAGATAGCTATTGGTGTTACTTTTGAAGATGGTTTCTGTTTTAAGAGGTGTATTAGGCAATATGTTGTGCTTAATGAAGTTGAACTTGCAGTTCCTTATAGTGAGTCACAGCGGTACAGAGCACATTGTAAGGTCAAGAGGTGTAGGTGGAGGATTCATGCATCTCAGTGTCAAGATGGGAAGACATGGCAGGTATGTGTTCATTTTAGAGTTTGATTTAGTGTTTGATTCAGGTCTTAATGAAGTTGTATACTCACTGTTCACATTGTTTTCTTGTTTTACTTGTTTTACTGATGGGTGTAGATTAAGAAGTTATCACACAAGCATAATTGTGCCAGCACAAGCAAAGTCCAAAGGAATTGTATGGCTACCAATCACTGGGTCAAGGATAGAGTTATAAACTGGCTTAGGGAGGATCCAACTCTTGGGGCTAAAGTTTTGAAGGAGAAGTTGGAGGAGAAGTATTGCATCCAGGTGAGCTACTACGTTGTTTGGGACGGCCGACAAATGGCCTTAGATGAGGTAATGGGTGGCTGGGAGGACAGCTTTGTACATGTGTTTTCTTGGAAGAGAGAGATTGAGAAGAGGAGTCCTGGCAATGTTGTAGAGATTGAGTGAGTGGTTGTGGATAAGAAGAGAAGATTCAGTAGGATGTTTGTAGCACTGAAGCCATGCATTGATGGCTTCCTCCAAGGTTGTAGACCTTATCTAGGAATTGATTCCATAGTTTTGACAAAGAAGTGGAAGGCGGGTTAGCATTGCGATGAGGATTGATGGCCACAACTAGATGTTTCCAGTGGCCTATGGAGTATTTGGCAGTGAGACCAACGAGAATTGGGAATGGTTCATGAAGATGCTGCACAAGGCTATTGGATCCCCACCTGGTCTTGTTATTTCAACTGATGCAGGTATGTTTCCTTCATTGTTTGATGCAGTGTTACATTCAGTGTTTCATCCCATGCAGCCTGACATTGTTTCCTTTGTTGCTAACTGCAGGTAAAGGAATAGATAAAATTGTTACCAAAGTCTTTAGAAATGGTGTAGAGCACAGAGAATGCATGATGCATCTTGTCAAGAATTTCCAGAAGAGATTTAGGGGAGAAGTGTTTGAAAGGAACTTGTGGCCCGCATCAAGGTGCTATAGACAGATAACCCATGATAGACACTGGAATGAGATGCTCAAAGCATGCCCAAAGGCAACAACATGGCTGTTGGAAAATCACAAACAGCTATGGGCAAGGTTCAAGTTTAGCACAACAAGCAAATGTGACTATGTCACCAACAACATAGCTGAGACCTTCAACAATTGGATCAGGGAGCTGAAGTCCTTACCTATTGTAGAACTTATGGACAAGATAAGGCAGTTGATCATGAAGAGGTTTTGCACAAGGAGGCAGCTGGCCTCAAAGTTGTTTGGGTTCAAGATTTTGCCTCATGTCATGAAGGAACTGCACAACAAGAGCAGAAATCTGAAGTACACCATTCACAATAGTGGCCCAATGGTGGGAGAAGTAGGAGTGAATAAGGACCTAGTCCAATAGAGGTTCATTGTTGCTCTGGACAAGAAAGAGTGCACTTGTAGAGGTTGGCAGTTAACTGGTCTACCTTGTGTGCATGCCATAGCTTTCATTGGCACAAGAAGAGTTGAATTGGAGGACTTTGTTGACCATTATTACTCTGTAGAAATATTCAAAGCAGCTTATACAACTGTTGTACCTCCTATGCCAGGCAAGGAAGAATGGGAAAATGTGGAAATTGGCTTCAAACTCCTTCCTCCTAAATGCAATAGAGCAGCAGGAAGGCCAAGGAAGAGAAGGATGGTTGGAGTTGAAGAGGGTGGGTCAACCAGCAAGGGCAAGAGAAGGTGTAAAAGGTGTGGTGGACTTGGCCACCTCCAGACGACCTGCAATGAAACTGTCCTAGACCCTGATGCACCACCACCTGCACCACCAAAGAAGAAGAAAATGACTTACAAGCCAAAAGTGGTTGAGATTATAGAAACCAGAGATGATCCATCTAAGAAGAAGAAGAGGAAACTATGCAGTAAGAAGAAGACAACTCCAACTGAGCCTACACCTCCTGATCAAACTATGCAGTAAGTGATCCATCTCTTGGCACTATTTTTCAGTTAGTTTAAAGGCATGACTAGTTTAAAACATGTTAACCACATGTTTCATCTTGTAGGGTTCCAAATTCCCCGGTCACTAGGAGGCAGGCCAAACAACAAGTGGCAGATAGCCCAAGGGCAGTGACTAGGAGTCAGGCTACCTCAACGCTGACATCCAGTCCAAGCGCATGCACTAGGAGGAAGAGGGCCCTGATGGATGTCTAGGCACTGCAAGCAACATAGGAAGAGAATAAAGCTTTTGAATTCTGTGCTTTCGTGTGATTTTGTGTGCTTTTGAGCCACCTGTGCCATATGAACTTGGCAAAACTTGGTATTGTAATGTATTCAACATGGTATTGTAATCTGGCATATGAACTTGGCAGAACTTGGTAATGTAGTGAACTTAGTAATGTATTCTTGTGAACTTGAATGCTTGGTAATATAGTGAATTCAAGGCTGTTGTTACTTGTTGTATGTTGCTGACCTTATTCAAGTTGGTCATGCTGAAATTTTATTAACCTGGCCAATGTCACATAACTGCATTTCATTCATTTCACAAACATTACAAAGCTAAGTTCATGCTTGGTTATACAATAACATGCACATGGCAACAAAGCATACAACTCCTACAAACACTGGCCACATTCATCCACCTAAGAACTCTATGCTCTCTAGCTATTCAACTCACATCAGCCCTCAAAGCTACTACAACATTGTTTAGGTTCAACACAGAATTCTCCAAAGCCTTCAAGTCGGCCATCACTGCTGCAGCATCCACGCCATCTCCTGCGCTCAGTGGCTTCCACATGAAGAAACTGCACTACGCGTTGCCCTGATCACGTCGAAGAACACAACATTGGGATGAACCCTAGATCCGATTTGAAAATGCCAAAATGGACCAACAAGAAATGCAAATAACTCAACCAGTCACGATTCCTGCAAGTGTAGAACTGCTTGTCTGGGTTGTTTTGGGTTCTGGACGTCCGCTCCACAACCGTCGTCGTCCTATAGAAAGGGCACAGTAGCTGAGCCTCTCTCGCTCCACGCGAACCTGTCGAGGACGAAGCGCCTGAGCCTGTCGCCATCTTCAACCGGCCTCTGCTTGCTTTTTCGTGTCGACGATGCCAGCCCGCCGTCGCCGCGCCCGCGCGCCCGCCCGCCGCCGCCGCCGCCTTTATCGTGGAGACGGGGAAGGAGAGTGAGACAGTTAACGGCCGGGTAACGGACGGGTTCTTATGGGTCCAACCAGACCAGGTTGGGGGCAGACCCAAGTGTGGTTCAGGGGCACCGGATGTCCAAAATAAAGTTTTCTCTCTCCTCAACCGGCTGAAATCGGACCGCGGTGTCCTGTGGCCTAATTTCAACGAACCAGAGTGTTTTCTGGCAAAATGCTCCAAAGTGGCTGTCCGCCAGCAAAGGACCGTCACTTTGGATGTCCAACAGACAATTTCCCCATTATATTATTGACCTAAACTCCAAATCGAAGAATATGTGTTCTCTGTATTGCCCTGTTCATAAAAATCACAGAAATTGGTAAAGAAAACCTACAGCTTGGAGAGTTATGCTAGCAATTTGGTATGTCTATTACGTGCATAACGCCTAAGACATATAATTCCAAGTCGTAAAGCTCAGTTTCTTTTGTTCCAATCGTGCTAGCTGAGGTACCAATGTATAAATCTGGTATTGAACTTACTGGATCTTTTTTATTTGCTGTTGTAGCCAATGAGCCCTCGGTGGGCTGTGCATCCTCACGGCACATCGATGCAACCCCAGCATCCACATTTTTATGCATCTCCTTGTCCAGGCTTCTTTGTGAACCTCAGGGTAATTCTTACACCCATGTTTTTGTGTTCTGTGATCACAATTGTAGTTATAATCAGCACTGATTTTCGAATGGACATTTTTCAAGCACGCACATGAGTACTGCTAAAGTTGTGTAGAACTTTGCTTATATTTTCCATGTGCAACCTCCGATATCCGTAACATAACTCAATATATATGTTTACGTGTTTCCTTGATGTTTAGTTTTTCTCCTACCACATACATATTTGTTCCTCCAAATAGTATGCATTCTTGAGGGAGAGATAGATGGTTGGATGTATTTGTACCTGTAAATAGAATACAGTATATGAGTAGTTGTGGATACTGTTTTGGCTTGGGAGCTGCTATAGTCGATATTAGTTCAGTTCAATCAAATGAATCTCTGTTTTCCTGCAACTTTTCATGAGCCATAGTAGCTGTCAAACTTTTTACATCTCGTGGTAGTATGTTGCGTCTGCAGCTTTTTCAGTGCTTAAGATGCTACGTAGGGAGTACAGGTTTACTCCTACAGTACATGAATGCTCACCTAATACTACTATGAGTATCTGCTCGAGCCTGCTCTGCCTACATAGCTGCTGCCCAGCCCAGCTTTGCAGGAAGAACAATTGAAAACCATAAAACTAATGGTAGCTGATGAGTGATGAGATATGTTTAGCTGGCTGTGAGCCTAGCAAAGATTCACGACTGACGCATCTCGTCCTATGTATGGCAACTGCAGCTGCAGGAGGCGCCTATGCCTATGGAGGAGAAACGGGCAGAGCCGGCGGGTCCCCATCCCCAGCCGGTGTTCCCCGCTTGGGCATGGCAAATGCAGGGCTCCCCTGCGCCGTTTCTCCCTGCCACTGCAGCATCATCAGGATTCTCTACCGCCACCACCGGCGTGGACGCGGCCGCAGGCGCAGCCGCCCGCAGCGTGCCGTCCAGTGGCCCCCGGCAGTTGTTCTCCGGCTACCAGCAGCTCCGCTTCCCCCCAACCGCCTGACAGACCCCAACCGTCCTGTTGAGTTGGAGAGTGGAGACGGCGTCTGAGCTGACCGGTGAATGGGTGGCGGGCTGCCCATGCGCCGCCGCCGGTGGGTGTGGGTCGGTAACAGTCGCCACTTGGTTGGGGGGTATGGTTTGGTGAGAGACACAGGATGCAGCGATCTCGCTGCTGCTGTGTGCTGTCTCACTCACTCACTCACTCCCCCCACCCACCTGGTAATACTCCCTTTGTCCTAATATATAAGGCGTAACCACTTTTTGTTCATGTCCCATAATATAAGGCGTGCTCTCTCACATACATCAATGCAGGAGTACAAGTGTTGAGAGAGAGAATTAAATGCGTTCTTGGTCTTTGTACCAGAGGTGGTTATGCCTTATATTCTAGGACGGAGGGAGTATGAATTTATCGTCGAAACTCTGGCGCTCATGATTCGTTCATCTTCGTTCGTTTTGATGGACAAGTGGCTAACTGATGGATCATGAGCGTGTAGCGAAAACTTGTGTAAATAATAAACCATGCATATCTTCTATATTTATTTATGATAATGATACAATACTGTGGCTGAGTGGAGTGAGCAGCACTAGCCTTTTGTTACTACTGGTACAGAGTTGCTGTGAACAGAAGTGGTGGGTGGGGCCCAAGGGCCAAGGCCAATCGGCTAACCTGGTCCGCTAGGCCTATCAGCCTGTTCGTTTATTGATTTCAATCAGAACTTATTAATCAGTCAATATTGTTTTTTTTTCTTTTATAATAAATCAGCACCAACCGGACTTATTAGTCTAAAACCAACCAACGAATAGGCTAAATGCCTTTTTCCTCGCAATCCGGCAACTATTCCTTTGCCTGTCCGCCATTTCTCTCTCTCTCTCTCTCTCTGATCAGCTCGCAGTCGCAGCTCAGTGCTCAGTGGCCTGGCCACTGTGCCACCGTTACTTCTGGCACAGCTTCTGATTACTGACCGATCCCCCGGCCCCATACACGGTGTGTGCCATGTCGCTGTCACCTTCCCCCGCCCGTGGTGGCCTGCCAGTGAGTGCGGTAGCGCCATGCCCATGCACGGATGCACCGCACCGGTGGTGCAAGGCTGCCATGCAATGCCGCTTCCAAAGCGAGGGGTTGGCTGCTCTTTCTGGCGATCTCTCTGTCTCTGTGCTTCTGATGCCGTTTTGGGAGTGGTGCCCGGTGCACGTTGTCGTGGACGGCGAAACGCCGATACGATACGAATACGATAGGCCAAACCACCGCTACTACCATCGCCTGTCGCCTGTCGTCTGTGTATGGATAGATGGCCATTGGCCGCCTGCGCTGCCTTTCTCTGGAATCTGGATAGGGTAGTTAGTAAAGTTGGGGGTGTTAAAGCTCTTCGTCACCGTCAGGCTGCTGGTTCCTTGTTGACTGCTTGCTCCTCCTGCTTTTGGCGATGGGTTTGGTTGGATCCTTGGGTGTTTGTTTCTTCGTATGATTTGGGATGGGTCATGGCGATGGCTGGCAAAGCGGCAGTGGCAGCGAAAAGGGCTGCCTGCTCAGGTTGGACTGGCTGGATGCCAATTTCTGTGGACGCTGATCGGGTACTCTCATCTCCCGCAGCAAAATAAATGCACATCTCATTTTTTATGAATTAAAATGTCATTAAATTAATAATGAAATAGATTTTCACAATAGATATATGAGGAGATATAAATCTAGCCAACCTTTACAATATTTAACTTCTTGGAAAGAAAAATATACAATTGTTTTTTTCAAAGAAAGGAGTACTAATGTACTGAGTTGTGTAGCCAAGTGGTGGTCCAGGCTCTTGATGCTTGCCTTTCCTCAATTCATCTCTTGTGCTGTGTCATGTGAATGGCCCAGTCCATGCGCTTTATATTTACTCGGCTATCCCTGCAATGTTTCCAATGTTGTTGATGCTTCTGGTCTCTTTTTTTTTGACAAAAGTTGATGCTTCTGGTGTAGTAGGAAAGTAGGTGAGCTTTTACCCTTCTACCAAACCATTCCATACACTTCCTTTAATATATATAAAATGTGTACACTCTAATATTAACGCGTAGTAATATATGTAAATATATATTACATTAATAAAAACAATTATATATTGTAAAGTTTTTCCACAAAGGAATAGTAATACTAATTTTCTGTTGTCACTTTATATGAAATTTAAGATACTAATAGTCAAAGGTAAAAAAAAAGGTTTGTCTAAGAAGTTAGGATGGTATGATGTGGTCCACATCCAGTAGCCAATGCCGCCTACATCTTGCATGATGTGGTTAAGTCTGCATCCACTAGCCAATGGCGCCTACGTCTTGCCGCCACCGGGAAGATGAGCTGCGGGGACGGCGGTGGCCGAGCAATCCTCCCTCGCCCTAACCTTTTTCTACTCATCCCCGTCCTCTCTTCTTTGCTGCGACGATAGATTAACATAGTATTCAGTCGAATCTGTGTGGATGCCTATGGTGGGTTTGTTTGGATCCGACGATGTACAATGCAGTTCTTGACAGTTGATTTGGTGGCGGTGCTTCCCTCTACCTCCATGCAATGCATCAGTCATGGTGGTGGCGGCGTGTGGCTAGCCTCCACCAGGTAGGCGGTTGCTAGCACCTTGTACTGCATGCTCGTTCCCCGGCAAGGCATGTCCCTATACTATGACAGCGCAATCTGGTGAGCCCGGGTGCACACGACATGGTTAATAACAGGCTCTTAGAGCCTCGTCGTACAATGATGGTGTGGTATGCGATGCCCCTTAGTCATCTTTGAGCTTTGGGTCCTATGTCCCAAGTGTTTGGCGATGATGTGATATGGGATAAACTTTGTAGACTTTACGACCTTTTATGGTGGTGGGTCGGTGTGTGCTGGCGAAAGCCATGCTGGTCTTTGTGCAAACCTCGACATCGCCACCACCTTTGGGTCCCGTTATCCTACTTAAACATTGTCCTATTTCAGACAAGCGGCGACATGACTATGGTTGTGTCCTTGTTAAACAAAATTCTATCCCTCTCCTCTCCTACCAGAAGCCATTGTCGACGCATGTCTTCCATCCGACCCAAAGGCGGATGCAAATTCGACTAGAATAAATGAGGGGCTTCATCTTCAACCTAGTAGGCGCATATCTTCCATCCATCCCTCTAACCCTTCTCTCTTATGCGCATCCACAAATGAACCATGGACACAAGTAGGGGCTCTAAGGCTTGCAGTGGGTAGGAGGGGTTTTAGCCCACCTCGCCTCACCATAGGATCCACTTTGTGGTTCCTCTCCTGGTTACACCTGCGACATGAGGGCCACCTATGCACATCCAACTATGGAAGGGGATGATTATGTAGTCGCGTGGTTTCGCGGATTAACATGTTCCTGTACAGATAACACAACATAACTAGGTTAGGCCCTCCTGTGCATCCAACAGGCACGTCGGTGCTGCATTCGAGTGAATCTCATGATTTTAAACCAATATCTAGAAAGTGCTTCCTATATTTTGTTTTTAGATTAATTTCTAATTCCTCTCAATTCCTGGAAATCTAACAGGGTCTTAGAAAACAATCACAACTATAGCGATTCAGAGACCGCACCATGGATTTCTTTCCCCTATCCGTGGGCGCAATGTGGTAGCTACACCAAAAGCTTGACGACTTAATGCTGACTAGGCAAGTGACGTGGCACCCCACATCAGCTCTTGACCCGGGACCAAATTGGGCGGTCGCGGGGTGTTAGTGTAGGGATACGGACCGGGCTATATTCGGGTTAGGCAAAGCCAGTAGCGAGCTACGCTGTAGCATGTGTAGCTGTGTGGAACTGAAGGATGATGCATCCTCCTTTGCTAGAGACGGCAGGCAGTCGGTTGGAATTGGAGGATGCTGTGTGTACGGCGGGTGGCGCATGCGTGCAATGCAAGCAGCTCCTTTTGGAGAACAGTAGCACGTTTCTGTTTACCGTCTGCCTGCTTGCTCACCAGCAGTGCCCGGCCGAAAGTGGTACATGGTACAGTAGTAGTAGTAGCAGTAGTGCAGGCCGTCGGTAGATGTAGCTAGCTGTGCTCTACAGTTTGCCGTACTTGCGAGGCTGGCCGTTGTCCGCTGGATCATCGGCGACGGACGCTGTGCAGCGTTTAGCTCAGGGCGTATAAAGTTTTCGCCGTACCTTTAAATCTATATTTTTCTGTAATTAATTAGAATAATTTGTAATTTGTAGTTGCAGCTTCTATGATTCAACTGTGGTGAAATTTTTATGGTGTGGGCTAATTATTATATGCTTGAACTATAGTAAAAATTTCATACTCATTTGATCATGTATCTATAACTAAGTTATATATGATCCAATGAGTATGAAATTTTTACTACAGTTCAAACATATAATAATTAGCCTACCATAAAAAAAATCACCACAATTAGACAATAGAAGCTGTAGTTATGAATTATTTCAATTAATTACAGGAAAACATAAATCTAAAGCCAAAGCAAAAACTTTGTACTAAAGCATACCATATTATATGTTCACTGTGTAGATCTACTCATGTGGAGTCCAACAAAATTAGATTTTCCATTTTATGATTTTTAAAGATTCAGCAAAAATAAATAAAAAAGTAAAAGACAAAACCACCGCGTCACTGTAGCAAAACAACCGTAAAAAAACGCTTGGGGGGTTATTTGACCGGTTTTAGAAAGTTCAGGGGTAGAAAATCCGATTTAATAGTTTTATGGTAAAGTAGTCCACCCTGAATAGTTCGAGGGGTTACGTAGATGTTTTCCTAATTTTATTAGTAGTAAATTACTCTCTTCATTCATCGTTGAATACAATCGAGCAACTTTAGAACCAAATAAAGAGTCTGACAAAAGACCAACTCTCACTAAATAATTTCCCAAAATGAGTCCTATTAATATTTGTTCAAAAAAGAAACTAGGAGGAAATATAAAATATTGCATATTGTCTCCTTGTAAACGGACGATCTAAGCATATTGACCCATATCGAAAGGCAATATGCTCGGAACGACCGTTAACGGCTCAAAATATG